AACAACAAAGCAGATTTAACTCTTATTGTATCTATGGGCTGCACAATGTAACCATGTGGCATGAGACGTCTGGATAACTCCTATACAGCTACAACAACTGACATATGAAAAATACGGCTGTCATTAACATGCTAAAGCAATATTTTAAATCATTGAACTAACCAAACAGGAACCTCACATTATATTCAGTCAAAGCTTGATGTTGCAAAATGTTGTTGTGGACACTTGGCTGCATGTTGTCATGGGCCACAGAGATCACTACTACACTGAAAGATAGAGTACTTAACTGTCCTGGATATTAAACTCATCACTGACGAAGGATGAGCTGCCAAATTGGATAGCTACAAGCACAGCTCCATTATATAGCATCTTTGTTTGGTTTTTGATATGTGACACAATTCTTATAAACGTCGTCCTTTGGTAAATTTAAATGATGAATAAATAGCATTTTCTGAATTTTGCTTGATAAAGAATCCCATTAGATGAGTTTGTAATAAATGTTTAGGCAATGAACTGTGCTATCAGTAGGTCATTACTGGAATTAATTATGATCTTGATTGATATTTCAATCTGTGACCTTAGATATTCTCATTTTGCTCATATTGTTATTTAAACGGCATGAATACCTTGCCATCCTCTCATCTTCTTTCGTTCATACTCAGTATGTGAACAGTGAGACCACAATTTATTTCGCACACTTAGTTGTCCTGGTAGCAGGGCTAATACTCAAATTAGTGCTAGCAGTTTAGTATAACTAAGAGACTTGTTCATCATTCCAGAGAACAGTTAAGAGTCAACTACATTGATATGGGATAACACAGGGTGGAGCTGGAGGAACACAGCAGGCCAGGCAGCATCAGAGGAGCAGGAAAGCTGACTTTTCGGGTTGGGACCCTTCTTCAGAAAGGGTCTGAAGAAGGGTCCCAACCTGAAATGTCAGCTTTTCTGCTCAACTGATGCTGCCTGGCCTGCTGTGTTTCTCCAGCTCCACACTGTGTAATCTCAGACTCCAGCATCAGCAGTTCTTACTATCTCTATATTGATATGGGACTGGAATTACAGACTGAGTAAGCATGGCAGGTTTCCCCGTGTACATGACAGGAATAAATCAGTCGTTTTTTACTACAAGCCATAACAGCTTTATGGTTCCTTTTATTGATATCAATCTGTTTATTTTTCAGAACTTTTAGAAACAAAATAAAAATGTTCAATATGCCATGATGGCATTTGGACTCATAATTTTTGTATCATTAGTTAGAAAAATAATTTTATTTCAACCATTTCTATATTAAATTATTAAAGTTTCCAGAGCAAGTAATACGACAGAGAGAATAGAAAGTATCAGGAATTAACTTCAGGCACAGCAGATAAGGGGACAACTATGACAAGTGGGGCAGTCAATACAGGACGGAGGGTATTGTACCTAAATGCATGTAGCATACGAAACAAGGAAAATGAGCTTGTAGAACAAATTGAAATTGGCAAGTAGAACATTATGGGTATCACAGAGACATGGCTGCAAGGAGATCAGGTCTGGAAGCCAAATATCCAAGGATATGCGTCCTATCAAAAGGACAGGCAGAGGGGACGGGAGTTGCCTTGTCGTTAAGAAATGAAATTAAATCAATGCATGAAGTGATACAGAATTGGAACTCTACCCCATGTGTGGGTGAGTTGAGGAATCACAAAGGAAAGAAGACTCTGATGAGATTTGTGTACAGGCTTCCTGGCAGTAGTCAGGATATAGGTAAGAAAATAAATCTGAAGATAGAAAAGGCATGTAAGAAAGGCACTAGTACAATAATCATGGGGGTCTTCAATAAGTGGATGGACTGGGAAAATCAGGTTGGTGGCGGATCTGAAGAAAGAAACTTTGTGGAATGTCTATGAGGTTTTTTTTGAAGCAGCTTGTGGTAGAGCACACTAGGGAACAGGCAACTCTGGATGTGGTGGTGTGTAATGGGGCAACTTTAGTTACAGAGCTTAAGCTGAAGGGACCCCTAGGGAGCAGTGACTATAATATCATTGAATTCACCTTCAGTTTGAGAGGGAGAAGCTGGAATCAGATGTAATGGCACTACAATTGAGTAAAGGTAACTACAAAGACATGAGGGAGAAGCTGGCCAGAGAAGGAGAAGCCTAGCAGGGAAGATGGTAGAGCAGCAATGGCAGGAGCTTCTGGGGGTAATTTGGGAGGCAAGCTGAAATTCATTCTAAAGAATAAGAAACATATTAAGGACTTGGACAGGCCAGGAGAGTGGACAAGGAAGTGGCAGATGGAATACAATGTGGGAAAGTATGAGGTTATGGATTTTAGTAAGAAGAATAGAGGCATAGACTATTTTGTAAATGGGGAAAGGCTTCTAAAATCTGCACAAAGAGACCGGGGAGCCTAGTTCAAGATTAACATGCAGGTTCAGTTGGCAGTTGGGAAGGCAAATGCAATGTTGGCATTTATTTCAAAGAGGGCTAGAAGACAAGACCGCGGATGTTCTGCTGAGGCTGTATACGGCTCTGGTGAAATCATGTTTTGAATATTGTGAACAGTTTTGGGTCCCATATCTGAGGAAAGATGTGCTGACTTTAGAGGACATCCAAAGGAAGTTCACAAGATTGATCCCAGGAATGAAGACTCTGGACCTGTACTCGATGGAGTTTAGACGGATGAGGGAGGATCTGATTGAAACTTACAGAATTCTGAGAGACCTGAAAAAAGTGGATGAGGAGAAGATGTTTCCACTCGTCCTAGAGATTAGGATTCGAAGGCACAGCCTCAGAATGAAGGGACAACTTTTAAAACGAAGATGTGGAGCAATTTCTTCAGCCAGAGAGTGGTTAGTCCATAGAATCCGTTGCCACAGAGGGCTGTGAAGGCGAAGTCATTGAATGTATTTAAAACAGAGATAGATAGGTTCTTGATTGGGAAGGGGATTGGGGGTTATGGGGAGAAGGCAGGAGAATGGCATTGAGAAACAAATCAGCCATGACTGAGTGGCAGAGCAGACTCGATGAATCAAACAGCCTAATTCTGCTCCTGTATCTGATGGTCTTATGGTCTTACTATCTGAAGGTGACAGATGGAGCCCCTGTTGAATTACTGGACAATTGATTACAAGGTGTAAACTGAACAATAACATTTCAACTTCAACTGGTCCAAATCCAAGAAGAAAACGACACTGATGTCACTTGTGAAACTTCGATATAAGGATGACAACGTCATCTCTGCTCATCAAAAGAAAATCTTCAAGTCTCATTTAATGCCTTTGCAGAAACATACTGAAGAACTGGTCTCAGACTCAACTTCAAGAAGACTCAAAATCTTTACCAAACCATCCCAGGCCAAGTTCCAATCCATCTCTCCATGAAGATCAATGGAGAAATCCTCCCAAACGTGGAGCATTTCCCTTACCTGGGAAAGTAAGATTGACATCGATGACGAGATTCAACATCACGGCCAATCTGTGAGCAACGCCTTGAGATGCCTAAGGTCAGAGTCTTCAATGACCGTGACATCCATGTGCCTACAAGATCCTTGTGTACAAAGCAATCAATCATTCTTCCAACTCATCTATATAGCTCCAAAACTTGGACTACATATTGATGGAACCTTGAGAAGTGCCAATGTTGTTTGAGATGGATTCTCTACATCAGCTAGGAGGACAGTTATACTAACATTATCGTCCTTGAAGCAGCTAATAGCACCAGCATTGAGGCCATGATCAGCCAAACCAACTCTACTGGGCTGGCCATAGGCTTAGGATGCCTGAGTTCTTTCTGTCAAAGCAAATCTTCTTCACCCAGCTCAAGGAAGGTACACCGATGATCGGAGGGCAAAGGAAGTGTTTCCAAGACTCTCTGAAGATTTCACTCAAGAAATGCAACATAAATGTCAACGCACGGGAGATCCTTATTCAGAAGAAATCAACTTGGTGGAAACTCCTGTTTGAAGGGTAACAATTTTTCGAGAACACCCATTGACAAGAGGAAATATAGAAAAGGAACCAGAGAAAGGAATGCCAATGCTCTCAAGACCAAGGGCCACTTCCACTTCCTGGAAATACCTGACAAATGTGTGAATGGAGATAGCTCTAGGATTGAGCTCATCAGCCATGCAAGGACACACAGAACCTATGACTAGTGACATGGAATTTTCTAGGTGGACAGTCATACTCATTGGCAAGTGATTGCCGATGATGACAATCATCTTCGTGCTGCAAAATTCTGGAAGGTTCTGTCACTTATAGAAATGTATCTCAATGTGAGTTGTTATTTTCAGGACAATGAGAAATTAGCAAAAGAAGAAAAAACAATATTTAATATAAAATTACTGGGTAATGGAAAAAAATCATGTGACTGAATACCATTTAACTTATGTATTTCTTTGACTCAACCTTAATTCACTGAGATCTAGAAGGGTGGCCCTGTAACTTAACACTGGAATTCTTCCAACTTCAGTTAACTTTGCAAACCAACTGCATGACAGATAGGATAAATTTCACTGACAAGCCACAAAAGTCCTCTAAGTGTCCTGTGTGGACTTAGCTGCTTATTCACTTGAGAATCCTTAAAATTCGTCATCAGCCATCTTTCGATTGTATGGGATTGGGTAAGTGTGGGGTGTCAAATGAGGAGATTAGTGCATTCCGGGTAAACAGAGATCAATTATAGATTTCTGATCATTTTCATGAATTTATGTGTTATGTCAGGCATCTAGCTCACAAAAATATATCCTTTAACACTCATGAAATGTTACATGGTCCTTTATTTTATATAGTTTGTTACCTTTCATTTTGAAAGCTCTAAGTTGAGGAGATGTTGCAGAAAATCAAAACAAAATGTCATGATTGTTAATTGACATATAAAAAGGCAACAGACAACGGTTTTCACACTCAAATATTATCCAGTGGCACGAATAGCCTTCTTGCAATGATCATTTAACCAGTAGAGCACAGTAAAAAAACAATTATGACTATTGCTTCATTTTAATTTGAATTACTTACAGTGAGGCTGCCACAAGGCTCCAGCACAATTGGAACGGACATCTTGCCTTGGAGATTTAGCTTGGTGAGATAGAATACCTTTTCACCAACAATCCTTTCTTTTTTCATGCGTCGTATACTATAGAGCCTAAATCGCACTGCATAATTACCAATCATCTCAGACTCAATGCGATTGAACCTAAATGCCTCTGTGAAGACAGGACAAGGCCCCCGCTGGACACTTGTCTTTGATCTTTGTTTCTTTGTGGGTAGTAGCACAAGATGTACTTGCCATGAACTGTTGCCAGTTCGGTTATGTGTTGGAATGTCTGTAACAGCTGTTACTGTTACCATAAGTTTCTGTGCTTGTGAGTCAAAATCAAAAGTGACATCCAGTGTGCCATACTTAGATACAGGTTCTGGATCGTAAGCTTTTGGTAGCTGTGCAGAAGATCCTCTTGCTGACATGTCCTGTGGAACATAAAAAAAACAAATAACTTCAACTGTAACAAAGCCAAATTCTTTTTGGCACAACTATTGCTTGTATTCTCTCCAATAAAAATCATTGTTACTCCAGTACTACACCACATTGCACTGTTGTATGAGAACTATAGAACAAACTATAGAACAGCTTCCCAGTTAAAGTTTAATGTTCATAAGATTTAACCCTGTGGGTGTGACTGAGACTTATTGATGATAACAATAGTGAGGACTATGACTTTTCAGAATACACTTAAACTGAATTTGAACTATTTCCTACCTGAACTAAATTATCTTTATGTGAACAATCAAGTAGAACATTGTAATATAGATTACACAGTGTGGGGCAGCACTGCATCCTCACAGGACCAGGACCCAGGTTTGATCCCACCTCGGGCGACTGTCTGCGTGGAGTTTGCACATTCTCCCCATCTCTGCCTGGGTTTTGTCCTGGTGCTCCGGTTTCCTCCCACAGTCCGGAGATATGCAGGTTAGGTGGATTGCCATGCTAAATCGCCCATATAGTGTCCAGGGATATGTGTTAGGTGGACCAACCATGGGAAATGCAAGGATACAGGGATAGGGTGGGGGTGTGGGTCTGGGTGGGATGCTCTTTGGAGGGTTGGTGTGGACTCAATGTGCCAAATGGCCAGCTTCTACACTGTAGGGATGCTATGATTCTATAAAGAAAAGTAACGCATTAAAGATGTCTGTAAATGCAAATAACTACATTTTCAATCATTGAAAACTTAATACAAGAAAGATAATTAGTTATGCATAACTAATGTTATAAAAGATTTTATACACTGTTTTTATTTTCAACACGTCACAATGGTGATAAAATATAATAATTGTAATTATGATTTGATTATTAAATTTCATTATCTGATTTTAATACCTGAGACTTTCATGGACAGAATAGGTTTAAACAGAAAGACAAACACTGACTTAAAATGGCCACAGCAATCAGCTGACCACCAAGCTCCATAAAACCAAAATGGATAAATGAACTCATCAGAACTGAAATTAATATTTCATCAAAATACATTGAAACTGCTTGACTTAGGCGTGGAACGGTCTTAATCTCCTATTCTGATTCACATTCGCATAAATTTCATATATTGAAGATGAAAGGCATCACCTGCAATTATCAAGCTTGATAAGAGTGAATTCAGATTTGGAATTTCACAAACCAACTTGTATTTCGGGGAAGTACTTTCGGCAGAGCAGGGAAGATAGATTTACAACTGCAGAACTCTCTTAGCCTCTCCATGAAAAGTGGCCAGTGACAGAATGGATTAAAAATAAACATTAAAAAGAAACATCAAAACACGGAGAACTCAAGGACAATGGAAATATTTTCAACTACTAAGGATACAAGACATCAGTTAAATAACTGTGGTCTCAATTTAAAATTTTATTCCTTTTGTACTGGGCACTATCTCTTTTCAACATTGCATTTGTGTGTAAGTCTGCTTAAATTTGCATCTTCATTGTTTATCCCCTGAGTTAGCAGTTAATGAAATTGCTCTTTCTTTCACTGAAGAAAACCAAGTAATTGGCTCCCTATTGATATAATAAGTACATTTTTATTACTGAAATGTAAACCCTTAACACTAAAAAGAACACAAATCTTTGATGCAGTCAACCAAGGAGGTTAAGGGGGAGAGATAGTAGGAACTGCAGATGCTGGAGAATCCGAGACAACAAGGTGCAGGGCTGGATGAACACAGCAGGCCAAGCAGCATCATAGGAGCAGAGAGGCTGACGTTTCGGGCCTAGACCCTTCAAGCTGATCCACCCTTCTTACTTAGTTGCAACAAAATTGGAGGCTTAGTTTCTGCAATAGTTCCCACAGACTAATCAAAAAATTGTATTGGGGAAAATAAATTATTTTTTCAAAAGCTATTAAAAACAAGACTTGAAAAGGTTTACTTTGATATTTAATAAAGTTTAAGATGTCTACATTTGATGTCAAAGTTTTGAAAAGGATAAGATAACTTATGAAAAAATATTGCTGTCCTTGTAAGAATTAAAAGGTGTAGCTAGGCACTTGGAGGTGAGGATCTGCCTGAAAGCCAAGAAAACCAAAATTTCAAAATGGGTAACAAAATATGTAGAAGTAAAAACTAGGAATACAGATAAACTAAAATTGGAGCATCAGAGATTAGAATGAGAATTCCAACAGAAAAGGGAAGAAAGAGAATTCCAGGAATAGCAAGGTGAGACAGAGAGGGATGGGAGACAGAAATGACAGTGGAAATTGGAAGAGGAATTTGAGGAAAGGTAAAAGGAGAAAGAGTAAGAGAGCTTTAGCAAGTTTGTGGATGGCACCAAAATTGGTGGCCTAATCAACAGAGAAGAAGGTTATTAAGATTACAAAGTGATTTTGATCGATTGGATCAATGGGCTGAGAAGTGGCAGATGGAGTTTAACTTGAATAAATGTGAGGTACTGAATTTTCGTAGAACAAACAAGGGCAGGACTTATACAGTTAATGGTAGGGCCCTGGGTAGTGTTGTCGAACAGAGAGACCTCCGGGTTCAAGTACATAGTCCTTTGAAAGCTGCATCAGAGGTAGACAGAGTGGTTAAGACAGTGTTTAGCACTCTTGCCTTCATTGCTCAGACCATTAAGCATAGGAATTGGGATGTCATGTTGAAGTTGTACAGGATGTACAGTGTACAGTTCTGGTCTCCCTGCTACAAGAAGGATATTATTAAATTGGAGAGGGTTCAGAAAAGTTTACCAGGATGTTGCCAGGACTGGAGGGTTTGAGTTACAAGAAGATGCTGGGTAGGATGGGAACTTCTTCACTGGAGCGTAGGAGGTTGAGGGGTGACCTTATAGAGGTTTATAAAATCATGAGGGAAATAGATGAGGTGAAAGCAAAGGTCTTTTCCATAAGGTGGGTGAATTCAAAACTAGGGGCATATTTTTAAAGTGAGAGGAGAAAGATTTAAAAGGAACTTGAAAGACAACTTTTTCACACAAAGGATGGCTCATGTGAGGAATGAAGTGCCAGAGGAAGTGGTGGATGCAGGTACAGTTACAACATTTAAAAGACATGTGGATAAGTACAGGAATAGCAAAGGTTTAGAGGGATATGGGCCAAATGCTAGCAAGTGGGACTAGTTTAGTTTGGGAAACTCGGTTAGCATGGATGAGTTGGACCAAAGGGTTTGTTTCTGTGCTGTATGATTCTATGACTCTATGAAACAGTTTGAGTTGAGAGAAAGAATTTCAATGTGCCCATTAAATGGACTTCTGCAGAAGAAGCCACCTCTAACTCAGACCCAAAGGTTGAGATATCTAAATTTGTCCAATTAATCCCTAAATTTCATAAAGAAGAGGCGTTATCTTCTTTATCCCTTTTAAATGGTTGGTACGACAGTTAAATTAGCCAATCCAATAATTGATACTGTTGTTGCAGATAGGAAAAGCTCACCAAATTTACTTCCTCTCGTTTGAGCAGAATGCAACTGCTTATTATGCAACAAGAGGGCAATTTTAAGTACATACCAAATAGTGCCATTGGCACACTGGTGAAAAATACTCAGACTCAGAAAATAGCCTGACTAAAAGTATCTAGAATTTGAGGCATTTGGCTTAAGCAGATTGGTTTTGACTAGTGAGTTAAGACTCCATCACTTTCAGTATCTGGTAAGCAGCAAGTTGTTCCAGGAATGGTGTGTGGTAAGATGGGGATAGCATTGGATGTGAGGGACACCACAGGGGCAAGGAAGGTAGATAATGAAGCACATTTGGTAAGATCTAGGAGAAATCATGTTGGGCCTTGTAGCAAGAATCCGCGCAAAAACAAAAACTCAACGTAACATGCACTTAGCCAAAAATACATAGGATTCAGCCCATAGAGTTGACAGTTTGGTCTGGACCATAAACCAAAGTTGGCCTCCTAGAAGGTGCATCCTGCATTTTGCTCTCATTGAACTTTACATCAACCCAAATGGACTGGTTGAGGTTTTAAACTTAGTTCTGTTCCTTGGATCTCCCATTGAGTAACTCTGGCAAAATCTTAAAGGCATCTGAGCAATGTGGGCTATAATGAAATATGTTGCAGAATCGGGCAACAGATCGAGATTCCCATCCTGGTAGCCCTTCTTATGAAACCGGCAGGTTACTTATCACCCCAGGTCCCCATGCAATCCACTTACATCAGTCTTCATCTGTCTACATTTCCTTCCTAGCCCCTGGCATATGAGGTGATCGAGCCAAGTGTGGTCATATACCAAACCCCTCTTGAAGCCTGAGTGCTCCTAACTGTGAATAAATCACCCTGCTGCATGACCCATTCCCATCCATGTTTTAACGTATACTCTTTGCAAATGCATGCTGCCCCTCTTCACAATTTTCATATCCTCTTCACTCTGCAGCCTGTAGCCCCCAATAATGAAAAATAGGTTCCTGACTGTTCTTTCCATATCTGCAGTCCTCCTTGTGTCCCCACCACCCTTTCACCTTAGTTTCTGTGGTTGGATCCACAAGACCGACCCTGGCCCACATCCTTGAGTAACCCAAATAGACAGTCCTGAAGTGCCAAGACTCCTGGCTGGTGGATGTACAGATCCGTACCTGTGCTGCCCAACCTCAGACTAGCTGCTATGGAGTCATAGTGCTGACCATGATCCACTAACAAAACTGCAGAAGTATGGACCCTCTGACCTAGAACACCCTGACAGAATGCCTGACTACATCCAATTCCCTGGACTTACCATTCCGGGATACTTTGACTGAGACGTCCCTCTATGGACTTCATTGAGGACTACTCCCCTAAAACTTTAAGACATGGGTGCCTGCTAGCTACACCTGCAGGGTGTTTTTCGCAAAGCTGCTGGCACATGGTGCTGATCTGAGATTGACGTAGCAACTACAGTACAGCAAGATGTACACCCCTTGGCTGAGGACCTCTGCCCAGCAAAGCAAGCTGCTTGGTTGTGTGACTGGATGATTTAGCACAGCAAGGAAAGACA